TTCTCCCTATTGTACAGACTCGAAAACTTGAATGGGCCTCAAAAGTCACTGTGGTAGTTACATTTGTGTGTCAACTCGGCTGGGTGGGCAGTTGGTGGCAGTTATTCCCCATGATGAGACTAGCAATCAGCTCCATAGTGGGATCTACCACAAGCAGCTGAGTAGCTGCCTTTGAGATGTGGTCTGCTTCCTGTATTTAAGGAGAAGCCTTGGAAATGGTCTCTAGCCTATGGGATGCTTGGACCCTGCATGTAGCCATGTCGTTGCTCAGCAGCCTGCTATGCTCTGCTGACCTTGGGTAACCAGAACAGTCACATAGCTGAACTTCCCCTTCTTACAAATGAGGAAATTGAGAACCAAGAGGTGAAGCAGTTTTTCTAAGGTCACACAAAAGTGGAGTTCTAGGAGACAACTTGTAACAGATTTAACCAGGTTGACTTCTGGGAAGAAAGTAGGAGGAAAAATCCTCATATTGCAGGAAAAAGAACCATTACTTTGACAAAACCAAAGTTTTATAAAACCTTTTTAATGTTTGTGAAATTTTTTAATGTTTCATAACTATGGAGATAATAGTCTATTAGCATAATTACATTTTTAAAAATGAAAATTTTCTTAGGCAAAAGTTAAACAATGTTTGAGTGAAAAAAGATTTTAAACGAAACAGACCTGACTGAGGAGATGGATCTATCTAGAAAGAGAGGTCTCCAAAATCCACAGCAGCTCTCACAACTTTTTCTGCCACTGATGATGGAATTTTTAAGTCTTCATCAAACAGAAAACAAAAAACTTTTAGACTTTTAGACTTTTTTTTCCCCTCAGATGAACAGTGACAGATTATCATCTCAAAATCTGTTGGCAAATGATAACTAATATTTTCAGACAAGTATATCACCCAATGACACATTATTAAGATTTTTTTTTTCTTTTTACACCAGAAATGACTTGGCTTGAGAAATGACTTGCTGAGAAATTTTTGTTTACATTAGGGAGAATGGGGGGAAAATAGCCCTTGCAGCAGTTGAAAAGATGTTAAGTGGTAATACCAAAACGCCCAGCAAGCATCCAAGCAGGCTCTCATCCTAGCATGAATAAGTGCAGCTCAGCGTTTTGAATTCTACTTTCAGCTTTTCTAGCAGTTTGAATTAACCCTTGAATCAACCTTCGTTCCCTTTGTGGAAGTTCAGCCCTTAACTTACAAATGTGGGCTGGAAGTGCTGCCACAGTCCTTCGCATTGACAAGGAGGTAATCCCCTCCACATAAATGGTTTTCCACAAGTGGCCACCTTGGAAACAAATACCTTCTAAACTTCCTTAATATCCATGAATCATGGGGTAATGCCCAGAAAAATGTTCAAAAGTAAGTCCAGCTTGCCTTAGCTATATACACGAACCAAACCGAACTCACTGCCGTCGAGTTGTATCCGACTCTTAGTGACCCCTCCTTGGGTTTCCTAGGCAGCATCACTATGGAAGTAGATTGCCCAACCTTCCTCCCCAGGATTGGCTGGTGAGTTTGAACCACCAGCCTTCTGGTTAGCAACCAAGTGCCTTAGGCACTATGCCACCAGAGCTCCCTAGCTATACATAGGTTTGAAAAAGTTGGTAGACCAAAACAATTCAGTAACAAAGCGTTAAAAATAAATGCAATAATAAGATCATATCCAGACTAGAGGTTCTTCAGAGAGAACATGTTTCAGAATCACCCCTGAGAGCAGTGTCAGATTACCCAATAAGCAAGGTAAGCACAGGTTTACTAACTAATCTGTAGTGACTGATTTCCTGTTTTTTCACTACATCAAAATTTCTGCTGCTAGGTATGGCTGGCTATTCTGACTCTCTCCCAGCCCTATAGCATCTTCCTACAGAATCAGTTACCTTTAAAATTTTAATCCCTGACAGGGACTGAGTACCCTGTAAGCAAGGTAAACATGGGCTTACTTGTGCTAACTTAGCAGTCACACTTACTTACTAGATCAGATTCATGTAAAACTGTTCACTACAGGTTAGTAAGCGTGGCAGTTAACATTATATCTCAACTTGGTTGGGCCTGGTTTTGAATGCCTGGGCAGCTGGATGCAGTTATTCCCCATGATGAGATTGGTCATCAACTCCATGATGGAATCTACTGGAGCAGCTAAGTAACTGCCTTAGAAATGTGCTCTGCTTCCAGTATACAAGCTTTGAGAAAGGTCTCTGCAGCTTTTTGGCACGCTTGGACCCTGCATGTAGCCGAGTCTCCATTCAGCTGCCTGCCACGTTGTCTGCAGATCTTGGGACTGTCTCTGGACTTGAAATAGTGGTCAGCCATGTTGTTTGGTAATCTTGGGACTATACCAATTTATTTGTCAATGTTGGGTTTGTCAGCCTCAGCAGTCAGCAGCTGCCTGAGTTAGTAGAAGCCTCCAGCTTCAGTGGGCTGGGTGCAAGAGGCAGAGCTGAAGACCAAGGTCGAGGGGCTTTCACCCAGCATGCAGTGTAGTAAATTACTTTGTGTGGCTTTTCTACCCATAAGTCTTTGTAAACTCCAAGGTGGGATTTGCTATGAGCAACTGAGGAGCTCCTGATTGCTGAAGGTGTCCACCTGGAGTATTTCTGTTGGGAGTGGCACAAAACAATGTTCTGGGAGGTGCCCACTCTCTCTCAGGTGCTTAGAGTTCTGATGCTATAATTGGCTAGTTTGACCACCCTGCCGGGCTCAAAAGGAGGCCTTCTAGAGGCAGAACTCTCTGACTGCTGGTTGAGGAAGATGTGCTGCTGAAAGAGATCCGTGCTGCTGAAAGAGACCCAGGCTCCCGAGACACGCGTTGCTGGGAAAGAGGCGCAAGAGATATGCATCGCCGAGTGAGACACTGAGGGATCAGCACTGCTGGGAAAGAGACTGTGAGAGACTGCTAGTTGAGGGACGGTGGGCTGGGAGAGAGACTGAGCATTTTTCCTGAACTTGAATTGTAGCCTGTGGTGCTTCCCTAATAAACCCCATAATCTGTGAGCTCTGTGTGGCCACTGTAGCGAATTATCAAACCCAAGAGAGAGGTGGTGGGTGCTTTGGGAGGAACAGTTGGAGAAAAGACTGGAGGGAAGCAGCATGTCTGGCCTCTCAGGAACAGGCCTTGGGCTATTGATAGTAATTCTGTCTTCCTCTTGTGGGATTAGAGGAGGTCAGAACATGTGGCCTCCTTGCCATTTTTGCACAGCCCCTAGAGCTGGCACTTTGAACTCAGACTTCTAGCCTCCTAAATTGTAAGAGAATAAAGTCTTGTTTGTTAAAGCCATTCCATTTGTGGTATTTTTCTGTTAGAGCAGCACTAGAGGACGAAAAGAATAAGAAAGAAAGACCATTTAATGAAAATTTGTACAATACTTCACAATATTTTTTCAAGCATTTATGATTTCATGTGGATCTCACAAGGAGCCCTGGTGGTGCAGTGGTTAAGTGGTTGGCTGCTAACTGAAAGGTTGATGGATGGAAACTAACAGTCACTTCATGGGAGAAAGATGTGGCTGGCTGCTTCCATAAAGATTATAGCCTTGGAAATGCTATGGGGCTGTTCTACTCTGTCCTTTAGAGTCACTATGAGTTGGAATCAATTTGATGGCAATGGGTTTGGTTTGGTGGGTCTCATAAAAACCCTATGAGGTAGCTTGCTATTCTCACATTAAAGATGAAGAAAATAAGTCTCAGGAACATGAAGACTTGCTCAAGTCCTTCACATCGTAGAGTAGAGAGGTTGTGGGTTTGATAACTAATGGGAGAAAAATACTATTGTCTTATTACTATTAAAAAACAAAACAAAATTCACTGCCATCGAGTCACTTTGACTCATAGCGACCCCTCCTTGGGTTTCCGAGGTAGTATCTCTATGGAAGTAGATTGACCAATCTTCCTTCTGGGGAGTGGCTGGTGGGTTTGAACCACTAGCCTTCTGGTTAGCAGTCAAATGTCTTAGGCACTACACCACCAGAGCGCCCTTATTACTATAGGTTAAATTGTTCAAAATATTTCATTCATATTTTTTTAAATTGTAATCAATATGCCATATTTTGCTTGTAAAAACTCACTACTTCACTTGTAATAAAGTATTTATTATGTCTTTTTCTTTATATCCAAATACACACACAAACACACTCCATCCTTTTTGAAGTAAAAAAGAAATAATGCTATCATCTATTGTTCTCATGTTTCATTGTAGGAGAATCAGATAGGCCATGCTTAAGATGTTAGTTTTCAGGAATATGTAAATCTTGTATTTTAGTTTTCTTTTATATGACAATAAAATGAACATACAAATCCATTTCTCAATCAATCCTCCTATCAGAAGAAGAAGTGTGAAGTGTTTGGCCCAGAAGAGAATGATCTGAAAATGACCTAATGATGTGAGTATTTCTGGTATTACCAAGTTAAATTCATTTTGCTATTCATAGTGATTTGTATCTTTGAAATATTTCTTTTAAGCATTCAGTCACTCAGTTCCTATCAGACATTTGCTCCCAAGGGGAAAAAATAATCCATGTCAAAATTTTAATGAGATGCAGTACTGCACAGTATTGGTCCAATTAAAACCAGTGCTGGACAGATAAATCTAGGCAAACTTCATGCCACAATTTCTATGCACTTTGGGCTCCATAGAAGAATCTGAAGAAAAAGAAGAAAATGAAATGAAAGCCAAGAGAATAAAATAGTTAACTGAGAAATTAAAACTTATTTCAAGAATATCAAAACTAAGATAAAACCATCTTGTTCTGTAGTTGGGCAGTGTCACTTAGAGCAAAGTAAAATGCTTCCTAAATGACTGGGTAAGGGCAGTGGTTGAAAAACTAAAACTAAAATAAAATAAAATAAAAAGCAAGTCAAGGTCAACCTCTTAAATAAGAAATCAAACTTAATGTTAATATATGGCAGGGCCAGTAGCGACCTATCTAAGTACAATATAGACACTGTGATCATTGTAATAGCAAAACATTCAACCCAGGATTTTCTTTTTACCTTGTCAATCAATATTTCATTCATCCTGAGAGGTGGCTTTAGCATAACTTAGAGGTAGATTCAGCCCAACAACTGGCCCTATGACGCTCAGCCATGATGTGATGTAGTTGATGTTCCTAAGGAAACAAGTGAAAATATAGGTGCTACTAACATGTCCATTGTAGTTTGGTGAATGGTAGAAAATCAGTCACCTACCAACAACAATACAAATGAGTCTTTATTCAAAGATGTGTGTATACCACTTGAAATCACAGCATTTCAGAATGTCAGTCCCATTACCTGCCCAGTATTTAAGGTCCCAAGAGACTGAGAATCCTTCCTTATGATAGTTGAAGGGTGAGGCAAAGTATTGGGTCTCCTGACTCTCCTTTGATGACTCAAATTTTATACTTAAAATTGATAGCATTTACTAAAGTAACAGAGTACAGTAGTTAAAAGCATGGTTCTAGAGCAAAAATTCCAGAGTTCACATCCCAGTCCTACCACTTAACTAGCTATAGAACCTTGGCCAAGTCATTTAACTCCTTTGTGCATTAGCTTCTTCATCAGTAAACAGTAAAATAATGATACTACTCGGAAGGTAGGTTGGGCAATTCTACTTCTGTAGTGATACTGCCTCGGAAACCCAAGGAGGGGTCGCTATGAGTCGGGTTTGACTCGACAGCACATAACAACAACAACAACAAGTTCATAGGGTTGCTAGAAAATTCAGATGAGTCAATATATCTAAACACATAGAGCAATGCCTATAACACACAGTGAAAATTAATAAATGGTAAGCCTTATTATTATTGCAAAGACTATTTCTTTTTAGCCTGGCTTTTAAAGTCACACAAAAAGATTTGCACTTTTAAAATAAGAATATAAACCAATGTGTCTTGATGATATTTCTTACCTATTGATTTTTTCAGAATTCTTTACTACAGGAAGCATGAATTCACTCGTCTTACATGGATGAAGCACAAAAAAGGGCTGCCCGAGTATTGGATGTTCCTGAAAGAATAAAATTAATTTAGGACAGCCAGTGTGCATATTTTGAAAAAGCTAAAATAAAAAATCTGTCTCAGTTCTTTAAAATAAAGGTTTATTTTAAATTCCAAGTTATTAAATGAAGATACAGGCTGATATCCTATTTTCAAATATGATTTACTATCTAAATATTAGAAGAAGTTGGTGAGGAGCTATTATTCATTGATAAAGTAGTATAATCAAGTATAGTAAGTAAAGAATTTTGTTTGCCCAGTACCCACTGCAGATAAATTTTATCAGTTCCTCTAACTCTTTATAAATCAACATTTCTCTTTGGCTTACAATTATTCTTTCTCTTTCTCTCTCTTTTATTATTGTGATTTGGGTGAAGATTTACAGAGCAAATTCATTTTCCATACAGCAGTTCACATATACTTTGTCTCATGACATTGACCACAGTTTACCACAGTGCAACAGCTCCCCTCCCACTTCCTCCCCATAGTTACCTCTTCCC